ACACGAAAATATTCACAACTATACCATTTGTCAAAAATGTAGTTCACCAAAATTAAGACATAACCTTTGTAATGTTTGTTTAAGAAAGAATGGAGTTTAAAATTTTAAAAAATATACATATATATAAAAAAAAATAAAAAACAATTAAAAAAAATAAAAAAAAAATAAAAAAAAACATAGATATCAATAGAAGGTAAATTTATTTATTTTTTTTTTTTTTTTCAATTTGGTTACTTTATTAACACCTGAGGTTGTTATCAAAAAAATTGATTCCAAAAAAAAAAAAAAAAAAAAAAAAAATTTGTTGTTTGCCTTTGGAAGAAAAAAAAAAAAAAAAAAAATAGAATTAAATATTAGTTCTTTTACAAAAAAAAAAAAAAATCCATTTATAATTATTGTATTTGCAAAAAAAATTAAATATATTGTTCTATAGAACCATGGACGATTTTATTTGGATTTTCGAGTAAAAAAAGTTAGGAAATTTTTTTATGGGGTTTTTCTCAAATTTTTTTTTTTTTTTTATTTTTTTTTATTATTTAAACCAAAAAATTGTAATCGATTTCTTTTAAAATAAAAAGATAAAAATGGAAAATTGTATAAATATAAATGTTTTTGAAAATGATCATAGTCAACTTGGAATTTCATTTAAAAGTATTTTAGATGATAAATATGATTTGGAGAAGGATACAAACCAATGCATAACAAGCTATAGTTGGGTTGATAATAATAAAAAAAATTATAAATTTAATTTTCAAGATCATAAACGTGAAATAGTTAAGGGATTTAGTAAAGATGCTTTAGTTTTAAATAAAGAAGAAGCAATGATAAAAACAGAAAATCAAGATTGTAATATGGTATTCTTTTTAAATACAGTTAGAGGTTATGATACATTTTTACCAGTTAATGCATTAACATTCGAATTACAAAAAAAATATCAAAGTTCAATAAAGAAATATGCAACCAATTTAAATATTAATATTGTAATTGTTATTATAAATTGCCAATATAATAATTTAGATTTAATTAACGAAGAAAGAGACAAAAAATTACAAGAAGAAGAAGAAGAATCATTGGCTTGTATATCATCTTTAAAAGAGAATTTTAAAGATTATGTTAATATTTTGGATGAAATTTATGTAACACCATATTCTCAAAAACAATACCAAAATGATTTTATTTTACAAATCATTTCAACAAACTTTTCAAATGATATTGATAAAGAGAAAAAAGTAGAATTATTAAACCAACTTAAAAGTCAATATAAATCTTATAAAGACAATATTGAATTGAGTACATTGAAAACAATTGCAAATAATTTAGAATCAAAGACCATTTTATATGAACCATTAGACTTGTATAAACAATTATCAAACATTGATTTCACAAATATTAAAAAAATATTTTCAAATGGTAACAAAGAAGAAAAACAAATTCAATTTACAAAAAATTTAAATTCACTTTATTTAATATCTATCATTGAAAATAATATTGATACTATGGATTGGATAAAGAAAATCTATGATAAACAACATGAAAATAACAATCAAACCATTGGTAACGAAGATGAAACAATTTTAAAAATTGAAAAAAATTATGATCCATACTTTAAATTCGGAAGAATTGCTCAAACAGGTGACTTATCAATATTTGAGTATGAATTCAATGAAGATGAATTTATTAAATCAGATTTTTCAATTGGATCAGATTCATGTGATAATACACCAATTGGTTTATTAATTTCAAATAACCATTTTCATTTAATTAAATGGGTCATGGAGAATAAAAACCAAACAATGTCAAATGAAACTCAAAAAAAATGGCAATTGATAGCTTTACTTTCAAGTGCATTCCATGGTAAATTGGATATATTCATTTACATGTTAACAAATCAATCATCAGCTATAAAATTTGATAATAAAGCAATTGGTTATGCATCAATGAATGGCCATTGTAATATTTTAAAATACATTGTAAAAGAAAATTTATACGAAAATGGTAAAAATGTAAATCACTATATTGTTGATGAAAAAAAGGGAAACATGTTATCAATTCATTTAGCTGCAAAGAATCATCAAAAAGAAGTTTTTGATTATTTATTAGAAATTGGTGGCATAGACTTGGATCAAGAGGATAGCTATGGTCGTACTCCATTATACTTTGCTGTTCAAGATTTTAAAACATATTCTCATTTAAGAAATTCAACTTTTTGTGATTATTTAATAAATATTAAACATGCAAAAACAATTTGTTTTATTAAAGAGAATGATAAATCTGAATCAAAAAAGATTGATATCAAAAAAGAAATTCAATTAAATAATCATTCAAGTTGTGCAATAATGTAATCGAAACAAATATATAATAAAAAAAACAATAATAAATAATAATTTTAAATAAATTGACTTTTATTTTATTTGTTTTATTATTTTCCTAAATTTTACTAACTTTGTCCATTCAATACCTAAAAATTCTCTATGTTGATCCATATGTAAATATTTATTTATATTTGGTTGATTCAAACTTAAATTTCCATTATCAATATTGTTTGTTGTATTAATATAGTTTTGATTGTTATCATTATTATTGTTGTTGTTTTGATTATAACTATTCAAAGAAAAGATGGTTTGTTTCGTAGCTACAATGATTATATTATCATTTAAAATTCTTTTGATTGCTTCAATCCAAAGTAAATTTGGTTTAACATTTAAAGGTTCACCTTTTTGGTCAATCCAAAAAAAAGCTGATATACTATCAATTATAATTAAACTTATATCATTAGGATAATCACTTTTGCTTTTGCTTCTATCAGTGAAAATATTATTACTACTATTGTTTAAATTATTATTATTATTATTATTATTATTATTATTATTATTATTATTATTACTGTTATTTAAATTATTATTTATATTTCTTATAAATTGATTTATACCATTTAATGTAACTAAAAATTGAAAACTATCCTTACAACGAACCAAATATAATCTTGATAAACATGACTTCAAAAATTGTTGAAACTCATTTGATGAATTTATGGAATTATTATTGGTATTTTTATTGTTTTTGAAAACACATTGGTTATACTTTTTTTCTAGTAAAATTTCCAATTTTAATATATCAAATTTGAAATCATTGTCAAAATATATAACACCTATTTGGTTCCCATTAAAAGGTTCACATGAAGGTAATATTGAGTTAACCAATATCTCTAAGGCTATCTCTGTTTTACCTGCCCCACTTGGGCCATACAATTCGATTATACCTGGGTTAATTGGTTGGTATGGTTGTATTATTACATTGTTAATATTGTTATTGCTAGTGTTAGTACTAGAATTTCTTAAATTTGGTGGTTGAAGTTGAATCGTTTGATTCGATTGAATTTTAGGTTGTGGTTGTTGTTGTTGTTGTTGTTGTTGTTGTTGTTGTTGTTGTTGTTGTTGTTGTTGTTGTTGTTGTTGTTGTTGTTGTTGTTGTTGTTTAGCCCTTAAGGATTGTTCCTTTTTCAATCTTTGTGTTTTAAAATGATCTGTTAAAAAAGTATCAATATCATCAATGCCAGTCCTAATTTCTTTTAGCTCTCTTTTAAAAAATATATTGAAACCTGTAGTATCGAATGGCTTCAAAATACCATTCATTTAATTATTATATATTTTTGTACAATACTCCCTGGATAATAAATAAAAAAATTTAAAATTTAATCTATATTCCAAAAAAAATTAATAAAAAAAAAAAAAATTAAATTAAATCTATAATCCACAAAAATAAAAATAAAAAAAAAAATAAAAAAAAATTTTATTTTTTTATAAAAAAAGTTGAAATAAGGGTAAAAAAAAAAATTTCTCAGAAATAATAGTTTCAAAAAAAAAAAAATTAATGTTCAACATTAGACAATAAAGAAAATAAAAAAAGATAAAGCCAACTAAACAGACAAATAAAAAAAGACTTTCAAATATAATTTAAAAGCAACATATAAACCCATGAGTTGTCCATTTAAACATTTATACAGTCAAGGAGCAACAACGGGTAATAGTAATAATAGTAGTAGTAACAATTCACCATATTCCTCGAACGAATTCACTCCAGAGAATGCAAATGTTATTGTTGCAATCAGTGAAACAGAAGAAACAGTGAATAATTGGGGTTGTCAAGTAATTAGTATGTACTTTAAAAAATAACAGTTTATTAATATTTTAATGTGTAAATATATATTAATAATTATAATAAAATAGGGGATGGAGGACTTGACTTTTTTATAAAGACAAATAAATTTTTAGAATGTAAACTTCAAGAAGAAGAACCAACAACAAAACCAGTATGTCCTTTTAGATCTCAATTTAGAAATAACAATAATAATAATAATGTGAATTCAGATATATCATTACCAGTTGGACATCCACCAATAAGAGATACAACAACAGATAATAATGTAGTAATTGATGAGGAAGGCTATTTCACTATACCATTGGTTAATATGCCACCATTTTTAACATTTAAAGAACTTAAAGATATTCTTCTAAGCATGGATATTAGATTAAAAGATTTAGAAAACAATTCTTGGGAAAATTTAAATTTTTATAATGAATTGGATTCAACATCGAATGAATTTCAATTAATTCAAGATTCAATTCAATTACATGAAATAATAAAAACACAAAATCAAACCTTATTTTTAAAATAAAAGTTTTGTAACATCAATAATATATATATATATATAAAAAAATAATAAAAAAAAAACTTGTGTTGGGTTTTTTATAAACAAAAAAAAAAAAAAATTAAAATAAATGAATGAAAAATCAAATAAAATAAATAATAAAAAAAAAATTTTGTTTGTTTTATAGATAAAGACATACGATAAAACTGATTTTAGAAAAACCTCTTCTTTAAAAATTAATTAAAAGAAAGAGGAATAAAATAAAAAAAATAATAAAGAAATTTTGTTTGTTTTTTTTTTTTTTTGTTTTGTTTTGTTTTTTTTATTTACAAGGGGGAGGGGGAGGGTTGGTGGTAATCATGAGAGTAAGCCCCATTATGTACGGAAATTAATTCTAATAGTAATACAATGAGTAATACTGCTAGAAAAGAAATTCCTAATTGCATTAGCCTTTAACTTCGATCATTGACTTTGAATGCAGCACTAAAGACTCGGAGATTGGGTGGTGCCTAAAAGGCACTGGACAACTTCTTCTTTGCCAAGGTACCAGCAAACAGAGACATTACCATTACGGGTGATACTTTCTATCCTAGGATCCGGGGACTTTTCCCAAAGCATTATTCATCTTCTTTGATGTTTGTAAGGTTTTATTATTCATCACATTCTTTTGTGAGAATTTCCATTTGTAAGCTTCGAAAGCAATTCTTCTGATTACCACAAAGAAAAAAACTAAAATGGATGAAAAAAATTTTTAAAGCGTTGGGGTAATCTTTCAAAAAAAAAAAAAAAAAAAAAAAAAAAAAAAAAAAAAATTAAAATAAAAAAAAAGTAAAAAAAAAAAAAACGAAATTGCTTAAATTCAACAAACGAGACTTTTTTATTCAAAATACATTAAAAGATAATTTATAATTTTTATTTTTTTTAAATTTAGATTGTGATTTCAGATATGATAGATTTTAAAATATTTTTACTCTAATTCCACTTTTAAAGAATAAGTAATAGTTATTTATACAGATCAAAATTTTAATTACATTTAATTTTAATAATATAATTAAAGTTTAAATTGAGAAAAAAAAAAAAAAAAAAAAAAAAAAAAAAAAGGTGTGTTCATTTGATAGTGTTAACCCCACTGTTCTTGTAAATGGGGGTAAATTTATCTATTCTCTCAATGAAGAATAAAAAAAATTTGGGTGGTGGTCATTTTTACAATTTATTTTTATTTTATTTTTTATTTTTTTATTGTTCACTTTGGTTGTATTTTTTTTTTTTAATTATTAAAATTAATTTTATTTAATTTATTTTTTTTTTTTTTTTTTTTTTTTTTTTTTTTTTTTTTTAATTTTATTTATTATTATTATTAAATTTTTTTTTAATTATTATTATTATTATTCATAAATATAATTTGTTACAGTATATATTTTAATAAAAAAAATAAAAGTATAAAATGCCATATGACTCAAAATCAATTTTCCCAGATTTTATAGTGTTCCCATCAGCAATTTCAGCAATTGCAATTGGACTATGGAGTGTTCAAGCCTACAAATTAGGTGAAGCTCGTAAAGATTATAAAGTAAATAATTAAAGAATTTAAAAAAAGTTAAAAATAAATAAGTAAATAAATTCTAATTTGTCTTTTTTTTTTTTTTTTTAAAAAAAAAATCATTATTTAAAAAAGGTAAAAGCTCCACATGTTGATGGCGACCCAAAATTCGAGTTGATTGCACATGAATATCAAAATACATCAGAAGCTCTAGGCGCTTTCATCCCAGCAACATTTATGTTCTCATATTACATTTCACCAAAATATTCAGCAATTTTAGGTGGAACTTGGTTATTTAGTAAAATGTTAAGTTGCTGTTCATTCTGTACTGAAAGAGAAAAAGAGACTGTATATGTTAGAGCTTTCCATATTTGCTTGACTCATCTCTCATTCTTTGGTTTGTTGGCAGGTTCTGCTATAGGTATCGGTTCATCTCTCCACAACAGATATAAATTATAAATTTACTTGATTCTTTTTTTTTTTCAAAAAAAAAAAAAAAAAAAATAAATACAAATTAAAAAAAAAAAAAATAATACATTGGTTAAATTTATATCTTAACTATATTTTATTAATTGAATTGAGTCATTGCTCTTCTATTATATAATGACATTTATTGTTGTAGTTGTTGCTGGGGTCTTCTTTGTTGTATTTGTTGATGTGATGATTGAGGATTGTGCTGAGGAGGTCTTCTTTGTTGTACTTGCTGATGTGATGATCGAAGATTATGCTGAGGTGGTCCTCTTTGTTGTAATGGCATTTGATGTGGTCCTCTTTGAATTACCTGCCCTTGTTGTTGTTGTTGTTGTTGTTGTTGTTGTTGTTGTATTGGCTGTTGTCTTTGTTGTCCTTGTTGTTGGAAGCGTTGAAATTGTTTTTGTTGTTGATCCAATTGTTTTATTGGTCTATTACTATAATATTGTTTTATTTTATCTTTTCTAACTTTTTCTTTTGATTTACGTGAACAACATTTTCTAAAGATAAAGAAGAGAACGATCAAAAGTAAAATGGAGGCGACAATGAAAATAGTGATAATTAAAGCGGTCGAAGGACCTCCAGATACATCAGGAAGTTCATTTGTATAAGAACTATCACTAAATGATGGAAAGAAAAATGAAGAATCACCATAACCACTTGAACTTGAATTAGTTTCATTTGAGGTTGGTTTTGGAGCTACACATGAATTTGATTCATAGATATAACCATTCGGACAACTTAGTGTACTTTCACATAGACCAGTATTTGAATTATAGTAAATTTTTTGTGGTACATATGATATATACTTTATATAACATGTGGTTGGTATACACTCTAACGTATTATTATTGAAAGATTGATCAACTGTACATTGGTCAACACAATATTCAACACCATTGATGGTTTTCAATAATTTTGGTGATGAACAATTTCCACTGGTGACTGACGAAATTTCATTCTGTAAATTATTATTATTATTATTATTATTATTGTTATTTACTATAATTGCTCTTCCCACTATATTATTTGGATTTGGTGTAAATTCTTTGATTGTTGTTGAAAAGTTACAAATCAGATCTGAATAATACTGATCATTTTGATAGATTGAAAATTTACAAAAACCTTGAGTTGCTATTGATTTAGTTCTACTCTTCAAAGAGAATGTTATTCTTGTTGGATAATTATCATTATTAACTATTATTGATTTTTCATTTTTATCAATTATTAATTCATCATCTGCAATATTAATATTTAAGTTATCGTCATTTCTACAATGTTGTAATAAAGCTTTAAATAATACATTATCATTTCCTTTATTTAAAATATCAATATCTATAAAAGGGTTTTTTTTTTTGTTAATATATAATTATTATTAATTTTAAACTAAAAATTTACAGAAAAAAAAAATCTTACATAGAGTTGAAAATGATTTATCATAGTTTGTTGATAGTGGTACAATTCCTCCACTCAGTGTAGGAATTGCAGTTGAGTTTATAATTGGGAAAGTTGATATATTGAAAAACATTGAAAGATTTGATGTTATATTTGTAAATTTAGTGTTCATTATATCACATGATAATGTAATCGAACTATCTGGTGAATTGATGTTCATTGATTTAATATCACATCCCGATGATAAAAAATTTTCAATTGTATTATTCCTAAATAAATGAAATTGATCATATCTGTATGAAATATATTATTTAATTTAAAAATGGTTAGTAATGTTATTATTTTTTTTATAAATAAAAATAAAAATAATAAAAAAAAAACCTACACATTATTAGAATTACCAACAGTTGTTATTTGTTTAAATGAATTATTACATAAAGTTGATAAATAGTTGTCAAATGATTGTCTTGTAATTCCTATTTTATTTAATTCTTCACCTATATGAATCTTTGGTATGAAAAACTTTGATAATAATTTTTGATTTCTATCAATTTCAAAAACAATATAATTAATATCAAATAAATTATTTAAAACTTCTAAATTTGATCTATCTTTAATGATAACCATTGATTGATTAAAAGTGGAAGAGGATGGTGAAGAAGAAGAGGAAGGAAATAATAGTGATGGTTTAAAATTTAAATTTATATTTATAGGAATTGTTTTAGTTTTAATTTCAAATATTTTATAGGTAGATGTATAATTTTTTGAATAACCAAGAGTATATGGTATTATTAAATCTGGTTCACTTGCGCAAGAAAATGAAAATATAGGATCATTGGTGATATATACATTTTCAAAATTTCCTATAAAATCTAAAGGTAAATCGATACCATACTGATTTTCAATCTCTATGTTAATTATCTTTAATAAATCATTTGATTTTTTATTTAATTTCCAACTATTAAATTTATTATCATTTATAATTAAATCTGTATGTAAAGTTATAAGTGTCAACATATAAAAAAAATTAAAAAAAAAAAAAAAAAAAAAAATTTTGAAAAAAAAAATAGATAAAAAAAAAAAAATCTTACCAGAGTTATTAAGTGAAGTAATAAAATTAATTTGGGCATTTTGAATATTTGTTTGATTTATTGAAATGATTGAATTTATTTGCCAAAAGTTTGGTTGTTCCAAATCAAAAAAAGCATTTAACCTTTTGATTATAAATGGTGATGAATAAGAGGATACTCTATAAAATCCAACTACTACTATAAATAATATTACACTAATATGAGATTTAAAAATTAAATTCATATTTTCTATTTTTTTTTATATCTATTTTTTTTTATATCTTTTTAATTATTCAATTATTTTTTATTTATTTTATTTTTAAAAAAAATTCACATTTTGTTTGGGTTTGGAATCAAATTTTTTTTTTTTTTTTTTTAAATTTGAAGTACTCAATTACTGGGAAGAAAAAAAATCGACCGATTTTTTATTTTTTTTTTTAATTTTTCATTAAAATATTAACGAATTTCAAAATAAATATTTTTTATTTTAAAATAGTTATTTTTTTTTTAAACGATTTTTTATATTTTTTAATCTTTTTAAAAGATAAAAAATTGTTAAAAGTACAACTAAACCGGATAAAGTTAAAAGAGCATAACCAGTATGAAAAGTAATAAATAACCTAGAGTTATTTATTAAAGAGGCAAATAATAAAACAAAGCATAGCAAAATTTCAATGGTATTTCTTTCATTTTCTTTAAAAGGTTGAAATAAAACTTGAATATAAAAGAATGCACTTAAAAATGATAAAATAATTAACTCTGAACTTGAAGAATTTTGAATTAAAAATGTTGAACATATTACAAACAATAGACTTAAAAGTATTTGCAATAGTTGAAAGAATTGATATCTTTTTGTGAATTGTGAAAAATAAATTGATGATTTCTTTATCTTTTTTGTTGCTATATTTGTTGTTTTTCTTGTTGTTGTTGTTGTTGTTGTTGTTTTTTTAAAACTACCACGATAGTTTAATTCACTAAAATCCTCTTTACTTTTATTAATATTTAATTCACCACTATAAATACTACGGGAGGCTAGTTTACGTTTAAATACCTTTTGCAGTATTAATGTAAATATCCAATGGAAACTATTATTTTTAATTAAAATTATTATATAGTAAATTATGATTACTAAATAATATAAAAGGACCAGAGCAGAGATTACCATTGCAATAATATGTTGATTATTATCATAGCAAGTTGATTCAGTATCATACCATAAGTAATAGGTACCATTTATAAAT